TCGACGACTTTGATGTAGATATCATTAGACTTCAGATTTAAAAAAATGTTAGAGGCACATCAGCTTGTTACTCTCCAAAAACTGAAATTAACATTGAAATTACAATGCAGTATTGACATAAAAAAAATAGTTGGTGGAGAATAGTAAGAGCCACCGGGTTCACTTTCATGAAAATTGTATATAGAAGGAATATGTGAAAAGCCACATTTGATGGCTAGTCGAAGCAAATACCTGAGGCAGATCCGTGAGCGACGGATGCAAAGCTTTTGGGATCGTCAGATTCAGAATGATTAAAACCATTTTTTCGATAAGTGGTTAAATATCATCAACCCGTTAGATACACCTACAGTTGCAACAAATACATCTCCATATTCAAATGTGTCAACCATAATACAATTTGCTGTGCAGTAACGATACACTGTGCGGTCTAATGGTTATTGAAGGTGAATACTAACTGTTGCAAATTGGGAACATGTTTACAATTGAACAAGGCATACAGATTGTCTGGATCTGCGCCACTGGATGGTGAGTTGATACTTGACAAGGCAAATGTGGTCGAGGCCCTTTGGAAACAAGTAATGAAGTCAGAACAAAAAATAGATTATCATGGCCTGGAGAGAATGATACACCTGGCTGTGACCAGAGTGCCTGGCCGGCACACTGCACTCAGAGGAATGGCAAGGTGGACATATAATCAGACTGCGTCGGTTGCCATTAGTATTGGAACTGTGATGTCTTACTTGACTCATCTCAACTCAACTCAGTTGAACATAAATGACAACACATAAATGTACTTTACCTATCAATGTATTATAAAGACACGCCTCCGACAAAAATAGAACTAGACATTTAAGATTGTTACTGTCAAATCTAAAATTTCACTTCACTTGTTTACAGTGTTTTTAAAAGATCAAAGGGATTGGCTGGTATTCAGCATCCTGGGAATCTGTGGACTAAAGAATACTATTATTTTTGCGTCATGGATATTCAAAGGCTGCTTGCAAAAAATCGTTGCGATCTAACAGGCATCGAGAAAATGGCTTGCAAGTGTGTTCATGAGATGTAGAACGAACTATATAGGCTTACAGTCTCGTGGCACTGGGCTTACAGTTCGGCGTCATGCTCATGAATGTTTGTTCTGGAAATAAATGTAACGCTCATTAACAAAACTTCACTTTCTAACACGAGTTACCAGTGAATAGGACAACTTCTTCTGGTCAGTTAGCCCAGCGTAAAGTCCAGTCGTCCACGACACAAGCTGCACTGTCATTGACGTGTGTTGTTCTGTTTGTTCGTGATACAAGCAAATTTGGCCAGCAGAGGTCGTTGTCGGGCTTGCTGCATGCGGTCTGGTCTGCCAGATTTTGTAATTGAGATTGGGCGGAAAGACACACAATCTAACAGTGAATGTCGGCGAATGTAGAGACGTGAAGGTAGAAAACCAAAGTTTCTACCAGTTTTCATTAACGAATAAAACGGCCAGAAAAATAGTTAACCGCAGAAACAATGATAATTCCTACAGGAAAATTCGTAACCCTAACCACACTAGGACGGAAATTGGAAAAAAAAAAAAAAAAGCGAAACGAACAAGACGTGCGTATGTATGTGTATGGATGGATGAATGAATGGATGGATGGGTGGGTGGGTGGATTGAGGGAGGGATAGATGGATGAACGAACGAACGAACGAACGAACGAACTTTATTTTCAAAGATGAATGGTAGGTAGGTAGGTATTGGGTGAAAGAATATCGAATATGCATCCCTGTTCAGTTAGGAATGTGTTACATCCGACTTCTGTTACAACTAGTCACTTGTTTATGAAGCAGAATCAGTGGTAGTAACAAACAAGCACGCCGCGCGCTCTGTGCTTTTTGCTAATTTATTGGGCGGACATTTAAATGGGTCTGTCACACAATTTCTAATATAAGTGGTATATGTTTCCCGTGTCGGCTCCGTGGCTAAGTCGAAGCGAACGCTTCGCTTCGTAATGCCGGGATGCCAGGTTCGATCCCAGCTGCGGGCAACGCGCCTTTCGTTGGTTTCGACAGTGGTATCAAGAAAGCCGACCGTCCAGTAGGCAATGGCAAACTACTGGATGTAAATTGCCTAGAGAAACCACACAACAGCCAGGGGCTGCTAGGGTTGGTTCTGCAACGTCATGTAAAGGATACGCAACTAACATTAAAAATGTTTTCCGTCCTTTTTAGGATGGAATTTTTCGTTATTTGAAGCTCTACTCTGGCTCTTGCCAGGGGCCGCAATATAGCCTGGCCATAAATATGGCGTAAAGGCTGAACGCGGTTTCTGGGACCTCTCCACAGTGATCCTCACCCACATGGTGGCACATTGTGTCATCTGGTGTTTATCGCTTGTGTGATGTCCTGGTGGGGTAGAAAGTCAGTCAGTCAGACACTTTCTAATTGTGTGATGTCCTGGTGGGGTAGAAAGTCAGTCAGTCAGACACTTTCTAATTCCCTCTATATCAGCCCGTCTTTCTCAGCGTTCTCTGTCTGTCTGTCTGTCTGTCTCTCTCTCTCTCTCTCTCTCTCTCTCTCTCTCTCTCTCACACACACACACACACACGCACACACTTTCGTTCCCTGTTTTTCCTAGTATGTGTGTGAAGTTTTGTTTTCTCTCTGAAAAAAGAAAACCGCCCTATTTTCTTTAACTGGTTTCCTGACTAAACAATAAATGCCAGTATGAACAGAAACAACACAGTATTCACAAGACCTGATGTATATAGTTCTATACCAATGATTCTACCAAAATGCAACACTTGTATAAAGAAATAATACTCATAATAAATGCGTACATGTACCGACAAGCTATATACACCAACAGACATTATCCACATACAAAAGAAATTGTTCATATCCAGGAAATGCTTATGCCGTCCATTTTTTCATATCGACAATGAAATTCTCATATCAACAGGTAAACACTCACATCGACAAGGAAATACTCAGAACTATCAGTCAGAAAATGTCTTTATCAGCAGACTGGTACGCATGTAGACAAATAATTAACTGTCCGCAGATCAGACAGCTTATCTACTTTATGTTTTCCAGTTTCTCTTCTGTCTCTACTTCCTGTCTTCCCATTTGTCTTTTGTATTTACTTACTTTCTGTTTTCCCTTTCTTTTGTCTCTACATTTCCTCCTGTTTCACTGTGCTGTTTTCTATTCCTTTAACATCCTCTTTGTTTCTCTGTCTTTCTCTCCCTCTTTCTTTCCCCCATTTCTTACAAGGAAAAGTCAGACCTTATCAATCATGATTCTTCTACATTGGCAAGATTGTGACGTTGGTGGTGGGTGTAAGGTTGGAACTGATGCTATGGCCACAACTATGTTATGATGGATGTTTTAAAGCTATAACCGCAGCTGTATTTTGATAGATGTTTTAAAGCTATAACCACAACTGTATTTTGATAGATATTTTAATCACAGCTACATTATGAAAGGTGTTTTAAAGCTATAACCACAATAAAACTGTGATTGGTGTGTGGTTAAAAAATCTATCAGAAGTATTCATACAGTGTTTGTTGACTTATGGAATGAAGTTTAGCGTAATGACTATCTTACTTACTTACTTACTTGCTTAGTCGCTCCTCTTCTACCTTGGGGTGTAGAGGTTTGCCAGAGAGATCGCCAGACGTCTCTATCAGCAGTTTTCTTTCTGGCTTTGTTCCATTCCAGTCCTCTGTCAGTCAGGGACTGTCGGATGTTGTCTTCCCAGCGCACCCTGGGTCGTCCCGGAGGTCTGGTTCCCTGGTTCTTAGCCTCCCATGCTTGCCATGGTGGCCGATTTTCTCCCATTCTGCACACATGTCCAAACCATCGTAACTGTGACTGATCCACTCGGGTTAGTAAGGGCTGGGTATCAAGATCTTGACGTATTGTCTGATTGCGGATTTTGTCCCTTCTTGTCACTTGGACCACCTTTCTCAGGTATCTCATTTCCGAGGCCTGCAGCTGACTTCTGTGAGCTGTTGTCATTGCCCATGACTCACACCCATAGGTCAGGACTGGTACATAGGTAGAGCGGTAAACAGCCATTTTCGTCCTCTTGCCAATTTCTCTTTTGCTAAGAAACCCTCGGTTTATGGCCTGGAAGAGTCTCCCAGCAGCTGCTTTTCGTGTAGCCAGCTCAGTCTTAATGCCTCCATTTTGGTCTAATACAACTCCAAGGTATTTGAACTGGTTAACCTGCTCCAACGCATACTGACCCATCATGATCTGGTGTTTCTTCTCCTCTCTTGAGATCACCATGGTTTTTAGTTTTGGAGACACTGATGGTCATCCCTTTCTTTTCAAGCTCTTCCTTCCAGACAAGTAAGTTGGACTGAAGGTGTGCCTCTGATTTAGCTATCAGGGCCACATCGTCTGCAAAAGCCAGCTCTGATATACAGATTGGTCTCATCTTCCAGTACCCTACAGAGTACTTCTTTGTCTTCTCCTTACAGGTCTTGATGACATCATCCATCATAAGAATGAAGAGGTAAGGTGAGAGAATATCACCTTGTCTAACACCGCTGGTGGTCTTAAATTCTTCTGACTTTTGGTCTGCTGTTCTTACATAATTTCTGCACTTTTTGTAGAAACTCTGTATTGCACTGATCAGGGGTGCTGGGATGTAATGACTATCAAAAGATAAAACTACTAACATTCATGTCAGTTGAAGAAGATTTTACTTTTATACCATACAAGCATCTACAAATTTATGTAATGAAAGTCAAATCTATAAAATATTAGGCTGTGACAAATTATTAATTCTTACTTTCAATTTTGTTTTACATCAGGTTTCTGCCTGCAACTCAAGCGGGAAGAACTCTACTGGTGTTGAGAACTGTAACCTAGTTTAGAGCTGTACAGTACTGAAAGGTATACTACTGGCTTGCAGCAACAGAACTGTTTATTTGTGGTGTCTCTGACTCAGGCTACAGACTTACTTTGGGAGGATAAAGTTGAGCTCCTGATTTCACATCCTGCAGGCTACAATGGGGAAGTGGCAACAGAGATCAGTGGTCTTTAAGCTGGCCTTACTCTTCATGTACTTCATCTTCCTGGTCTACGCACTTGCCTTCAGTATTCCTACCTGGCTGGGAGGAGGCCTGATATTTGGACTGTTGGAAAAAGACATAATATTTGGACTGTGGGCCATTTGTAAGAAGACTTCAGATAGCGGTGGCTTTGAAACATGTGAAAAAATGGCTTTTGGTGATAACACCCGTGAGTATTACCATCTACTTCAGCACTTGTTTCTTTGTGAAGATGATGTGCAGTCTCTTTTTAATCTCTTCATCTACCCTTCGTTTCGCAGTAGAGCATGGGTTGCAAATAACTCACACTAAGTTGTCCTTTTCTTCACCTTGATATCTAGCTCAACCCCATGTCTTCTTCATCCTACACACATCAATGTCTAACTCCCGGGAAGGCTAACCTGGTCGACAAATGCCCGCAGAAGTGTTGGCCAAAAGGTGCTAATATCGCAGCCATGCTGTAAAAGGACACAACGCGATTACATTTTCGGATGAACGCAGAAGAAGAATAAGAAGAATCTCTAACTCTTGTTTGTGTTTTGTTTCTTCTTTGGTCTCTGTTTATAACTTTGGCTATGTGGGCTCCAGTGCAAGCACATTCTAGTTGTATTATTGTCAGATTCTCTTAGAGCATGTCTTATCTAGCACCTGCGTCATTTCCTCACCTCTTGACTCACTGGATTTGGTTAAGTTCTTTTCCAAAGCTCCATATTAGTGACTGTCACAACATAAAATTTCCACTAATTTGCAGAAGTACCAGTTAATGAACGTATGTCAGTTTTTAGTAGGGCTGTACCGACTAGTGATTTTCACTATTCGGCTGAATACGAATAGCAGGACCAACTATTCGACTGAATACGAATACGAAAAGCATATCATCATCATGAGGTGCCTTACTGACTGGTAGGGCAATTATGCCTCGCCACAATCTGCGATCTCCTGTAGCATGTATTAGTTCGTGTACTGACAAACCTCCATATCATGCATCAAGACTGTCAAGAATCTTCTCTCGTTGTCTTCCTCTATCCCTCCTTCCACAGATCTTTCCAGTGGTCACCACATATTCCATTTTCCCTCTTCGGTTGGCATTTTATGCAGTATGATACACTTTGAGTGGGAAACAAGGAAAAACTCGTTTTGACAGTGGCGAGGAAAGACAATTTAAATTTTAACTTTGAAGTATCTTCATGCCTTCTTTAATAATGTCACAGTTTATAGCCGACTTTTCTTGATTTTCGGCGCGACACCCCTGGCATACGCACTCAGTTTGAGAACCTCTGCTTTTATCCCTTATTTGAGTCAGCAGGCAAAAACCTTGCGAGCTGCTGTACCATGCAACCTGGTCGCAGATTCCCCTCGCTACGAAAGACTTAGGCAACAGCAACTATTGTGTTAATGAGAGATTTTTTTCAAAGAAGACACAAACAATAGATTGCACGATTTATTGCCTGGCATATTTCGCTGTATCTCATCAGGTGCACGCTGCAGGAACAATTACATAAATGAAGCAAATAAGTGAAACCTTTATAACTGAAGTACAATTTCAAGAGTTATTTCAGTCCATCGCAGTGTATGCAGAAACAGGTGTAAGGTAACCACTATTCATATTCATCCCAACCGCAAGTATTTGGCCGAATACCAAATAGTTATTAGGTCCACTATTCGGCCCCGAAGCGAATATGAAGCGAATATTCAGTACAGCCCTAGTTATTAGTAATTTTGTTACTCATTCCTCATGTTTCTGATCCACATAGTAGCATTGGTTTAATCTAAAGAGTTAAAGTCTGTAGCAGGACGAATTATGGGGAGCCAGTCAAGACTGCAGCACCATCCTATGTGTTACCCATGCTTGAATAAATGTATAGCAAACATGGGGAAGAAGAAGAAGAATAAGAAGAAGAGATAAAAAGAAGGAAGAAAAAGAAGAAGATATGAGTTTGTCTACCAGTTTTAATTTCTTTTGACTGATGCAGCTTCTTTAGTGATGTGAAAGCTCTTCTTGCCTTGTATATTCATATTCTTCTGTCTCTGTCTGTTCCCCCATCTTTGTCTAATTATTTACTGCACAACTCCAGATTTCAAGTAGTTTCACCAGTGGAAGTTGGGTTGTTGTTGGTCAGTTTTCTTTATCTTTTCCCTATTCCAGACCTTGTTGGCCTGGTTTATTCTCATTATCTTCATCTTTCCCCTATGGATTTTCAGACCTTTTTGGCCTGGTTTATTCTCATCATCTTTATCTTTTCCCTCTGGAGTTTCAGACCTTGTTGGTCTGGTTTATTCACATTATCTTTGTCTTTTCCTTATGGAGTTTCAGACCTTGTTGTTGCTTTATCTCATTAGATATGTTTAATTTATGTTGCATCTGATATTGTGAATTGTACAGTAGATGAATGTCAACAGAAAAGACCAGATCTTATAGCTATTCTGGATCCACAGAATTTCATATCTTGCGGTTGTTGTTGTCTATAGTCAGTATGAACAATGGAGATGACAAAAGGCACCCCTGTCATACAAATGTTCTTCTTTCAAGTGTGTCTGTGATTTTTCTCACATAAAGGTAGCAGTTTTAAAAAAGGAAATCTGTAGAAATCCCAAGAAATGAAACTTGGTACAGAATAGATGGTAATTGAGGCGGGCCAAAGGATTAAAAATGCTTGCTTTCATGAAGAAGGCCCAGGTTTGAATCCTTGCTAAGGTTATGGATGTTTTTCTTATGGACAATGTTAAAATTTCAACTTGCAGTCCATGGCAGCAGCAATGGCCTTAAATCTTTCTTTCTTTCTTTCTTTCTTTCTTTCTTTCTTTCTTTCTTTCTTTCTTTCTTTCTTTCTTTCTTTCTTTCTTTCTTTCTTTCTTTCTTTCTTTCTTTCTTTCTTTCTTTCTTTCTTTCTTTCTTTCTTTCTTTCTTTCTTTCTTTCTTTCTTTCTTTCTTTCTTTCTTTCTTTCTTTCTTTCTTTCTTTTTCTTTTTTTTCTTTCTTTCTTTTCTTTCTTTTTCTTTCTTTTCTTTCTTCTTTCTTTCTTTCTTTCTTTCTTTTCTTTCTTTCTTTCTTTCTTTCTTTCTTTCTTTCTTTCTTTCTTTCTTTCTTTCTTTCTTTCTTTCTTTCTATTTGTAAATGAGATGATATGTACTCAGCTAAAACAAAAAACAAAAAAAACACTTTTAGTTTGCCTGACCAAGCACAAATGTTCTTACTCAGAAAAAACATTCATCACACAACAAACTAGTTCTACAAATGTTTTCCCTGAGAACAAACTATTCCACAACTAATCAAGAACAAATGTTTTCACCCGGCAAAAACTATCCCACAACAGAATACAAACAGATATTTTAACTCAGAACAAACTATTGCATAACAGAAGTGCCCAACTGTACCTACATGACACAAATGCAGTCAATAAAAGAAACATGTTTTCATGTTCAGCTTGGATGGATGGAGTCAGGGCAGTGTGGGTAGCGGGCATGTTCTTCTACGTGGTTGCCGTCTTCTACAGTCTGGTGGACAACTGCTGCACTAGAGAGGATAGCAGAGATTATGGACTGACTGGGGCTCTGGCCATTCTTGCAGGTAAGTTTTATGTGAACACCTGGCCATTCTCACAGGTAAGTTGTATGTGAACATCTGGCTATTCTTGCAGGTAAGTTATCTGTGAACACCTGGTCATTCTTGCAGGTAAGTTATCTGTGAACACCTGGCCATTCTTGCAGGTAAGTTGTTTGTGAACATCTGGCTATTCTTGCAGGTAAGTTGTTTGTGAACATCTGGCTATTCTTGCAATTAAGTTATCTGTAAATACCTGACCATTCTTGCAGGTAAGTTGTATGTTAACACCGGACCATTCCTGCAGGTATGTTGTATGTAAACACCGGACCATTCCTGCAAATAATTTGTATGTAAACACTTGGCCATTATTACAGATAAGTTGTATGTGAACACCTGGCTATTCTTTAGGTGAGTTGAGTTGAATGTGAACACCTATTCATGCTGGCGGTACATAATATGTGAACACCTGAACTTTCATGCATGTAAGTTGTATATAAACAACTTTGTGAGCAAGCTGGCCATTCTTGCTGGCAAATTATATGTGAACACCTGGACAGTTTTGCAGGTAACATCTAGAAATTCTTGCAAAGTAAGTTGTTTGTGAACAATCTGAATGTTCTTGCAGGTAAGTTGTATGGGAACACCTGGCCATTCTTGCAGGTAAGATGTGAACAAAGTTGGGTGCAGTCTGGTGATTCCTGCTGGTAACTTAAATATAATTGTTAATTTCAAAAAGTGTGTTAATGATGGCTGTATTTTCTGGTGTGGGTAAATGTTCATTGTATAAGCTATGAGAATGTGACAAACTGGCAAGCTAGTTATGTGTATGCTGGCTCTACACAACTTAAATACCAGGAAGTTTAATATTAGAAAATAAACCCTATCTAAAATTTGACTGTTTGTTTATTGTACATTCTCTATGGGTGTTAGGTATAGGAAAGTTGTCCTAGTTGGGACATTTTTGCAAACTGGCTATTATATACAACATGTCTTTTGTTTACTTTAGTTGTGTTCAGTTATTGTTATACACTCAAGTTGTGTACTGCTATTGTTGTACATAAGTTTTCTTCATAATTGTTGTACCACTTGAGTTTTGTACTGTCTTGTAGTAGCACTAACGTTTTGTAATGTTTTCTTGTACCACTTGAGTTTTGTACTGTCATTGTCATGCTACTTGTTTTATACAGTAATTGTTGTACCACTTGAGTTTTGTGCAGTTGAACCAGTTGGGTTTTCTACAGTCATTGTGCAAGTTAAGATGTGTACATTCATTGCTGTACGACTTGTGTTTTCTATAGTCATTGTTTTACAAGTTGAGATGTGTGAAGCTATTATTGTACAGGCTGAGTTTTGTACATTTATTGGTGTACTGTATTCATAGATATAATTCTGTAAACAGTGTTTGCATAGCTGATTATTTGGCGGTAACAGTGGACGGAAATGTCTAACAAATGATTATGAAATCTACTTAGGATGAGAATTTAGGGATCTTATACATTATCTTACCAGGCAGGACTTTGCTGCTCTTAAATATAAAACATTTACCTGATTAATGCCAATTTTAAAAACAGCATTTTAAAACTTCATGAAGTATCTTGTCAAGTTTTGATCACATCATCATCAATCAGCAAGTCCTTTACAGAACGTTGCCTTCTTCATTGCACGCCTGAAAGTATCCCTCTCCCTAGAAAGCTCTCCAGCCCCATGTGCTTTCAGTGCCAGTGCATCTTCAATGTCCTGTATCCATCTTCACGGAGTTCGACTCCTGCCTCGCTTTCCACAAACTGAACCCTCCAACACCATCTTTTCCAAGCCACCATGATGCTTGATGTGGCCAGAATACTTCAACTTTTGGGACAGGACGCTGTTTATGAACCAGTTCTCCTTGATGTTTATCTCGGGTAGAATGTCGATGTTTTCCTGTTCTTGGTCCATGGTATTCTAAGAATTTTTCTATAAAAGTTTAATTCAAGCTTTAATCTTTTTCTTCAGTGATTAGGTGAGAGTCCAGGAGTAAGTTGCCACATGAAAAATTGCATGATCTCAAGAGTTTTTCTTTTAACTAATTTACAGGTGTTTTGCTACAGGTTCTTTATGCTGTTTTATCTCTGCATTGCTTATGCAAGTCTTCTTCTGACTTCTTTTGAGTAGTCAACACTGTTGTTCACTAAAGAACTTAAGTAATAGAAATCTGTGATATTTTCTATTTCGTCATTTGTTGATTGTAATATGTGGTTGGCATGCTGTATTTACAGAGGACATGATTTTTTTTCTCTCTTCAAATTCAGAAAAAGATTCACTTCTTTGGTATGCTTTTTGATGGCCAGAACTAATATTTCTAAAGCTTGTACACTATTGGAAAGGAGAACTGTGTCGTCTGCATGTTTTAATCACAGAAAAGGAATATTTTTTTAAGGACAGATGTGGAATATTTGTGTAAATTGCTCAAATTATTTGCTAAAATTGCAATTTTGATGCTTGGCTACAGCAGATTACACATTCACTAGTTCTGTGGAACATTGGTATTAAAAATTAATCTATGGTATCTGTTTAAATCCAAGTCACATTCTATCATGTCAGTAAATTAGTTTAATGTGAAAATATTTGAATGAATGTTTACAATTTCTATTTTATTTTTAATTTCCTAGGGCTGAGTGGAGCGGTTGGAGTTATTGTGGTGGCAATTAAAATAGAGGAAGATTCTCCAAATGTGCAGTACTACTGGGGCTACATGCTGGCCTGCATCACTAGTGGTCTCACGCTCATTCTGGCTATCATCCTCCTCATTACCAAAAACACCAAGTCCAGTGAGAAGGCCCAGGCTGACCGGACGGCAGATTATGTCTTTGCTCATAAACAACCCAATCCTTATGCTCAAGAGTATACCAACCAGGGTTACACCCGAGATGACATACCCTTGGCTAATGGGGTCACCTACCACCACACCCCCACTGCCCACCCCTACACCGCCTACCAGGATGGGTACACAGGCACTAACTATCCCCCCACCAGAAGTCAAGAGCCCATCTATGGACAACCCCACAAAAGTCCATACGGTGGCTATTACAATGGGAGACCAGCACAGCTGCATGATGCTTCAGATGTCGGTTCAGCCTACACAGATCTTAGCAACGGATACACCACAGAATTGATCCAGGCCGAACACACACTCAGTCGGCCTGGTGCTGCCCAGCGAGCAGATTTTGTCAGAGGGGCTGGGGATTATGCCAGGCAAGAGTACCCCGGAAGAAATGACAATTTCGCAAATGGCAGCAGGCTTTACTAACTAATGATAAATCGGGCTCCATGTAAACTGAAGTGGATTATACCTCTGAGAGAAACGTCTTTAGAATATCTTTCATGTAAGGGAGTAGCAAATTTTTTTTTTTTTCAAGTAATGAATAGAATTAAAACAAACAAATCTTTAATTTTAGTTTGTGCTTTAAACTGAAGATTGCTGGTAGTCTTGAGAAAAGATGTAGAGACAAATGTTAAATGGGACATACTAATTAATAATGCCATTGAATTCATTCATTAGGTCTCTCCAAATACTGTTCAGTAATTGCTTAAGGAAAGTTATTTGATTGTCATCTTGGCTAGTAGATTTATTAGTTTGATAATTATGATACATTTTTTTAAATTGTTGGTCTGTTTAATCAAAGAGAAGTTATAGGAGAAAAGAAGTGACTTGTTTGTTTTGTATGAATTGCTTTTCTATTTTATGGTGTCTTCAAAAGATCATCCTCACAGCTGTAAAGGGTTATAGTGTGTCAAGGTCAGGTTGTTGATATTTTGCCTTGGATTCCATATTTAATTCCACCATTTCCATGAATAAATCACCACTATCTGGGGACAGAAATCAACAGAGAAATGTGATTTATCAAGGTCAGCTTACAGTGCTAGAAACAATTTGGGCACTATAGCTGTAATAGAGTACTGAGACAAATACTGATACTGAGATTCTGCGGGGAAAGAAATACTAGAAACTCACACAGTGGACTCCAAAGAGAAGCCAGGTCAGGGGAGTACAAGCAGGAGATATGTATTTGTTGTTTCTCCACAAGAGCTTAACACGCTTTTCTTGGTCTCATTTTTGTATGAGCAAATCTTGCTTTGCGGACATAGGTAGCGCCCTGGCCACATGCGAACCAGTGGCTGTCTGTTGAAATTCTGACTGACACAAGAGTTTCTAAACATTGACCGGAACTTCCGGGTTGTCCCAGCCTGCAGTGGGTAGCAGGAAATCTGGGAGGTAAAGGTGGACGGTGTAATAATGACTACATCATTCATTGTTCACCAGTGGGTCTGTACAAGTGTAGCCTAACAACACTTTCCTTTTGCACTTCAGAGTGTGCAAAAGTGACCTTGACCTGTATCTGACATTGACTTTATCTGACCTTGACCTACATCTGACCTTGGTCGATGTCACGTTGCAGTTTACTGCCTCTCCTCTGCTGGATTTTACAGTAGTTGCATAACTTTGCCACTGTGTCCTGTTTTATTGTCTGTTGTGTTATATTTTTGATTCTTTTGTCTTCCCCATTTCTTAGTTGGCTTTTTTGTTTGTTGTTGTTGTCTTTTCATTTTCTGACAGTATTTTATTTTGACTTTTGCACACTTACAATATGTCACTATAATTTTTCATGATATTTCAAATTTGTGTGTAAAAATTAGGTATTCATTTTGTTGGTCGGGATTGGTCTTGATTTTAACATCTTCATGTATGCTGCAATATGGTTTATTTGTTATGTTATTTGTTTTCCACGTAATCTAGACCATAATTTGAGATGATGTGACAAGTTCACTTACTTGATGCCTTTCCTTTCCAGATAATTTTCAGAAAATTCTAAAAAAATTGTCTGGTACCAGTTGAATAAGGTCAGATTGAACCCAGAGCTGTACATTCAGACAAATAGTAATCTTCCATTTGTATTGAATAAATCATGACCACTGTCTTGACTGGCGAGAACATTAACCACTCTGCCATCATGACTGCTTTATGTATCTATCAAACCCATAATATATTTTTTTCTCTTGGCTTCTCATCATGAAACCACCACACATCCTTTGAACAAAGGGCTGAAACGGTTATCTCTATCCCCTTTGTCTTTATCACTTTAGTGTTTCTGGTTTTCTCTGAAGGCCTTTTCCAAGTTTTCTTTGATCTTCCAAATCTACATTTTTTTCCTTTGTGTCTATGAGTTGTACCCTGCCCATGCTAATTGCTGCTGTTTGGTTTTAGTTATATGCTCATTTGTAAACTGTTTTTTCTCGCTTTGTCTTCTTTTTTCCATATATTATTAGCTAATCAGTCTTTACCTTCTGCAGTACCTTTATCATATCTCTCATGTTTCTTGTCACTGACCTTCCACAAAGGTCAGAAGCACAAGAATCACTAATACATCCCAAGTTTATGATTGGTCAGCAAGTGTCTAATTTAAAGATAACTTAGTTCAAGAATGTTAACATGCAGGTTGGAAGCAAAGAAAGTTTGCCAGGATAAGTCAGTTTAACTTCTGGGTTTCCCTCAGAGTTGTTTGTGAAAGGACACCTTGAGCTGGTGATCTTCTATAGCATATAGTATATCAGTTATTATTTCTTTCAGTTGTTCTCCTTGTCTGGGTGTTAATGAAACAGTATTTTAAATATTGATACATGAGCAATTTGAAATGGTAACACCTGAACCATGTAGTGTTTGACAATGTTAATTCATGAACTTTATAATTGGTTGTGAGGATGAAGGAGTTACTGTTGGACTTTATAATTGGTTCTGAGGATGAAGGAGTTACTGTTGGACTTTATAATTGGTTCTGAGGATGAAGGAGTTACTGTTGGATTTTATAATTGGTTCTGAGGATGAAGGAGTTACTGTTGGATTTTATAATTGGTTGTGAGGATGAAGGAGTTACTGTTGGACTTTATAATTGGTTCTGAGGATGAAGGAGTTACTGTTGGACTTTATAATTGGTTCTGAGGATGAAGGAGTTACTGTTGGACTTTATAATTGGTTCTGAGGATGAAGGAGTTACTGTTGGATTTTATAATTGGTTCTGAGGATGAAGGAGTTACTATTGGATTTTATAATTGGTTCTGAGGAGGAAGGAGTTACTGTTGGACTTTATAATTGGTTGTGAGGATGAAGGAGTTACTGTTGGACTTTATAATTGGTTCTGAGGATGAAGGAGTTACTGTTGGACTTTATAATTGGTTGTGAGGATGAAGGAGTTACTGTTGGACTTTATAATTGGTTCTGAGGAGGAAGGAGTTACTGTTGGACTTTATAATTGGTTGTGAGGATGAAGGAGTTACTGTTGGACTTTATAATTGGTTGTGAGGAGGAAGGAGTTACTGTTGGACTTTATAATTGGTTCTGAGGATGAAGGAGTTACTGTTGGATTTTATAATTGGTTCTGAGGATGAAGGAGTTACTGTTGGACTTTATAATTGGTTCTGAGGATGAAGGAGTTACTGTTGGACTTTATAATTGGTTGTGAGGATGAAGGAGTTACTGTTGGACTTTATAATTGGTTGTGAGGATGAAGGAGTTACTGTTGGACTTTATAATTGGTTTTGAGGATAAAGGAGTTACTATTGGGCTGCTGAAACCAGCACCCCATGAGTCACGTTTCCACAGATGTTTGTCCATGTAGAACAATACTATTCAACTGGTGGCCTTCTAGAAAATGGTCCACAGATCATTGCCAGGTGTATTGTATTAACGATTGTTCTCTGCTGGGGCTCAGACCTCTCGTCAGTGACTTTCCCCATTTTCAAAATTTGGCCTCTGAATAAACTTAGGTGAATAACCCTGATGTAGGTGTTTGCTTCACTGAATTGTTTCATCTGTTTCTAAGCAGTTCAGTTTACATTGCCACTGTGATCAGATTCACAAGTTGAGACTTGAATAGAAGAAAATCATTAACATCCCATGAATGTCTTTGTTGTTGTTGTTGTTGTTACATGTGTTGAAGTTAAGCTTAAAAACTTGATTATTCTTACTGATAACTAATAGTGCTAGCTTGCCTTTACAGATGTATATTCTGTTTTTCTTGTTTCATTGTTATAGACTGTTGACATTCCATTGTTCTAACTTCTTTATTCCAGACTATAGACATTCCATCGTTAAGTTTGTTGATATTGTATTAAGTGCTATTTATACTTGTTATGTTGGTGACTTTGAAATGTTAACATAGTAAGTCTGCATTGTAATTTCACTGTTAACGTTGTAAGTCTTTTTAAACCTGGTAACATTGTAGGCCTACTTCTTAACATGGAATCTGATTTTGATTTTACCTGATACAATAATAAGTCATTTGTACCATATTATGTTTACCTGTGAACGTAGCAAGACTTTCTTGTCCATTAACGCATGCAACATTTTTGTTTAACCTGTTAACATAGAAACATTTGTTTTTGCCCATTAGCATAGCAGTTTTCTGTCTAGCCATTTAACAGAGCAAGTCTTTTTTGGTATCTGTTAATTTAATGCTTATTACGTGGCTTAACAGTTAGCAAAATCCTGTTATAACCCAAGCCTCTACTAATAGATTATAGTGAGCAGTCTAAAAAAATTATATGTTCTTATGGCTTTTGAACACTGATGCCTTCTTATTCTTAGCTTCCACTGGTTATAAAGTCTGGCAGAAATTTCTGGTTGTTCGTCCACTTGTGGACTTTGGTCTTGATCGAGAACTTGAGGTTTTTGTGCACATTTATTGAACAGATCTGGGGCTTATTTATATGCAGACTGTTGGTTTTTTTCCTCTCAGGCAGATGCTGTTTTTACTTTAAAGGAAACACCCCTAATTAGTTGCCTCCTGCAACATACTTGTCGGGGAGCAGTGAATCTGTTCATGTTATCCCAAATGGAGCACAGGAACCCACACAGGAATGGCAGTGATATGAGAGCTGCTCCATAGAACAAATGCAGGCATCACCAAGTATTATTTCCACAAAGGGCATTGGATGCAATGCAGCCAACTTACTTTGTGAAGATGGCGCAACATTTATGATTTATTTATAACTTATGTCAGATTATTTTATATGTTAACATTTGTTGATGGACAGCTTTCCACCTGATGTAGCAATTGTTATTTGTTAACATAGCCCATTATCTGATAGTTTGTATTTTCTGACCTAAATGGGGAGTCTTCAAACAGGTAATGGCAGCACTTACAACATGCTGAGTCAAAAAACAAGACCCTTCATTATTTTCATTGATAGCAGAGATGAAGACAAAGAGGAAGACCACTGGTAACTCACATCATAATACAATGACCTAACATG